TTCTGAAGCACGCGCGAAACACCTCATCTCAGGCGGAGCAAACCCGTTCGAGTCCGTTTCGCGAATGTTAGAAACATAAGACGTCGCGTAGCAACGAGTTCTGCATCTCGCAAATAAATCGTGAATGTGCAATGTCTCAAATGTATACCTCTTTGATGTCGAACTATGCTAAAAGGCTTGCATTTGAAGGAAACTTGCAACACGTAGATATATTTTATCTTTCTGACAAAATAAAGCGAATATTTTATCAAAATAAATGGTAGCTTATTTTTACGTTAAAGTTTTGTTCGTAAAAAATAATAATAATCATTAAAAACGTAGATTATAATGCTAGACATGTTTAAAAATCTTGGATAAAATGTACATAATATACACAGAATATCTGAAGACTCAGCTGTACAGCTCGGAAATAATTTCGTTGGACGTAATATCGACGTAAGTACGCAAGCTGGAAGCCAGCGGATTGCGGCTCAATGGTGGGGGAATAAGCGCGTTTTCGACGATGATACTAGAAATTCCGTTAGACGCGTTCTCGAAAGACGGGAGGTAGATATGGGCAAGTGGTACACACATAAGTTATGTCCGCCGGCGCGGTGTAGGTCGATAATTCATTAGTTGAATCGCGTTGACGTTTGTAAACTATGATACAGAACGGCGTCGTTGCGAAACTAGCCGCGCGACTACTATATTCAAGAAATATCAGGGTAGTTCAATAGTTTCGGTCACAAATATGTGCACGATATATTGACAGACGTTATGCATTATTCCTCAGAATATTGTATTGCAGTACATTTAAGCGCGGATATGCGGAATTGAGGAAAATAATGTTTACCGCATATCAAATATCAGAACAAGTACAAGCGACGTCGACCGAAAGTATAAAGTCCAGCAGTACATTTCAGAGTTACACCGCAACCGTTGCAGCCAATAAAAATATAAAAATTAGCATTATACATAAAAGTTTATTGCATCTTAGCTTGCTAGGCAAACTTTATAATTTATTCTTTCGTGATTTTAAATATATAATTGCTTCTCGATAGCTCGTTAACTTTCGTGGAAACTGCAAACGGCATTTGACGTTTGCCTCTAATTTGTCCGCCGCGCGAGAGCAACGAACCCATAAAACAATAAAAGCAAGCTTTACAATCAAAGGGGAAAAAGCCGCTACACTTATCCGCCGCTCGATTTCCATTTTTATCGTCGTATGTAAATAAGCGACTAAGTAAGAATTCTGTAGCGCAGACCGACTGTTTCACTTCGGTTTCGATTTAATATCTATCTTTAGTCGTAAATTCCATGAACAACGAAATAAAACGAGTACCGTGAACTCGAAATAAATTACAGCTATATAACCACGAATAACTTCAAAATTGTGTCAACGAGGTACAAAGAGTTTAGCAAGGATAAAATGGGTACGCTCTCCTGATGAAGTTAATTAATCTCGAGTGCCAGATGGTACGACCAGCATGGTTCCCACATGAAAACGTGATGCGCCGGGAAAAAAAGGTTTCGTTTGCGCGACTCATTGTAACAAGAGGCGATAACAAGTTTTTCGCGATATTCCACTCCACATACAGCAACATTAGCATGATGTAGAGTCGCGTGTATGGTGAATGAAAATATAAGCTTGGGATAATATAATTGCCAGCTCATAATTGTTTCATACCGAACGCGAAACTTTAGCGTTTATCATATTTAAAAGAATATTTATTATGAGAAGCACGAGTTTTAAAAAAAGATACGAAATGAAAGATATACAAAAGTCTGCAAATGTACATTGAAATATTCCAAGCAAATAATATCGATTATTTGCTTCTCAACGTACATCGATTATTTTTGGAAAATCATGTTATCGCTGAGCTATTGAACAGCAGAATATTACATAGCATTCTAACTACTCATGATGGATACGATGGATCGAATAACAAATTCCAATCAGTTATTATGTGATTGATCAAATAACCTATTTCCACATCGCTAATAATTCCAGTTTATAAATTATGCTCTCGTCATTTATTGGATATATGTATATCGAATATCATAGCATTTGTCGTTTCCAAACAAAAAGTATAATACAAAAAGGATTAATAAAACATATGGAAAACGGTTCTTTCATGCGTCTTGTCTCAATATATATATATTCATTATAATCTTATAATATTTATTATCATGATGTTAAATTTTCTAACACTCAATGTTAAGCATCATATATATTATATTATCAAGTGTGATTACAAATTAATAAAAGAAGATCATTATTAATCGTTTAATTTTGTTACTAGCGCGGATGCAGTAAATTTTGTTATTAGCGATCGATCATTTCAATAATAAATTGGAGATTTCCCTATTGATTAAATGATTAATAGATTATTCAGGCATTTGCAGAAAATATCCGAATATTCGCCAAACTTAATTTTAGCAATCGGTATGAGAGAATCTTTATACATGCCACACGAACTCTAAATGACAACAGAATAATTACGGCATAATAAGATATCATTAGTATAAAATTTGATCTCGCAACAAATTAAATAGTGTATTTTTACTAAAATTGTTTGAAAATTTAATAGAAAGATTATTTAAATCTTACACAATTTAACGAAAAGATGTGTTTAATAATAGTACATGCGATATAATATTCTTAAAATGCAATATTTCTCGATAAAACAAAATATAGAGATAAAGTGCAATGTACATCATATTAAAATAATACTAATATTTTTTCCAATAATTCTCCCGAAAAGATATGCGACCAAAATTACAAAATTAAATAGTCAAATGATACAAAAAATTAATCAATAAATAGCTGGTTGCAGTAAATATAACACACATTAATAAAAATTTAACTTTGTGAATTTTTGTTCACAAATATTTTCACCAGCATCTGCCTCTAAAATGCAAGAAACTAAGCTCCTTGCTCAAGGATCATTTGCTCTTAAATATTACACGCAATCGATCAAAGTCTAGCTCACCGACGGTAATCGCGCTTGTTTCTGTCAATAATTAGTGCTGTCTCGACGAGCAAATAGAACGTGGGTAAGGCGATTGCAAACAGGTCTGTCAATAATTATGGAAAACAAGTATTACAATATAATGATCCCCGCGGATGCGTAGGCCACGTTCGTGCAAGTACTCACAATTCAATATTAAAAATAGATCAATTTCTACAATAAAAGGTACGCGCAGAGATATTATACTGGCCGCGTGTAGTACATCAGTTTAAATCCACGAGCGCGATCTATCAGTACCAATTTCGCAAGCAATTCTCTTAAATATCGCGCATATACAGCATGTAATTACGCAGTCTTATTAAAATGTATTCAACGTTCAGTAATCATTATTACTCATTTTCTATTTGTGTATCTAATTCAATTTTTACTGCCGCACGATTTATCGCTTATAAACAACGATAATTTTACATTTCGACCTTTTTAATCCTGTTTTATATTTACGTAAAATTCGTAGACGCATAAAAAAAAAGTAATAATAATACATAAAATTTTTTCCACAATTCAATAAATGCAAAAAATCGCGAGAAATTTATTTTCTATTCTCTACGAGCATCACATTCGTTTTACCGCGACGAACGAAGGGAATGATCGCTTGCAAATTAATGAAATGCTCAACGACCGTAAAAAAATCGGTAACGTGCCGACAAAAAACATCGGGGGTCGCGTGAAAAGCAACCGATTCAAATGCAAAATTACAGGGTAACTAAATCACAGCACGTGAATGCAATGGCTGCCAGTTGCGGTGAGAAATTTACCGGATGCGTCAACGCGACGAAAAACAACCGCGGGCGCACGCATGGCGCACGAGAATTTAAATCTTGACGCTCTGGAAATCCGTATAAGTATAAAGCGGAAAACGCATTCTGCGTGCAAGGACTGATGGCCCGTCACCGCATTATATCGGTACTCGATATCGATCTTTTTCTTTTTAATGGATACGTCGATAGCGCCGACTGTCTGACATTTCGATACGCTTTTATGGCAATCGGTCGAAGCCGCAAAACCTATTACGTATCGTAGAAGATGCGCAGCGTTGAGAAGTCAGAAGTCGGCGTGACTATCATGACTCGACCGAATCATATTTAACTCTTAATCAATCCATATTGTGATGCACGCATAATAAAAACTGTTATCTTCTGCTTGGCAAAATATGCGCCGTGATACCACATACGTAGCAATTCGTAATAAAATTTGAAACATATATATATAAAACAGAAATTTAAACCGCATATAATAAATAAAAATCATGGTATGTAATAATTAAAAGAATAATTTGATGTTTTCAAATATCCATGAAATATTTGATTATCTTGCTACTAAATCATTCTGGTAAAATCTTTTCCTTTTTCTTCCTTATTAAAATGTAAAACTTAACTGAATTTTGCTAGTATACAATATAACTTGGTTTTATGATAACTAGAAATAGTCTAAACAACATAACAAAGTGGTTATAAAGACATATAAATTAATGAATTGAATAGAGAAGATCTATATTTGAGTGTTATTTTGTTAGTTGAGTTTTAATGTAAGGATCGATTTTTAAAAATGTTAGATTCATTATTTTAGAAATGCTCCATGAAGTTCCTTTTAGAACGCGCAACACGTGAGCATACACCCGACTTTCTCTGTCTCTTGCAACGCTAATAAAGAACGCGTTTGTTTATACAATCACTCAGTGTTCCCATTATCAAAGTTGCAGCGACCTAATCTAAGAATTGCAACACTTATGGATAATTATAAATATTTAGATTTAAACATCCAATATTTTTCCATCACATGCACTGCTACTGGCATAAATAATCAAAAAAGTAATATCTCATATTATGAAAGATATTCAGCTCGAGCAATTTGAAAAATGAGCGATCTTTCTCGTCTCACAATGATGAACGATGCAATTTGCGGCTGTGTTGCACCGGGTCATAACACTTACATTACCAAAGTACCGTGTCGGAACTTGTCGCGAGATTTGCGTGAACGTGACAATCTTACCTTAAGCTGATGTTGCGGTCGTCTGAGCGCGCCCTGGTCTCGTCGTCCACCCAGTCGATCGGCTTCCGCTTCCAATCCCTCCATCGTGGACTCCGCTTCACTCAACCAGGCCAAGAACTTGTCTAGGGACCGGTCGAAGTTGTGGAGCGAGTTCATCGCCGAGTGCAGTAGTTTCCCTCGATTGATGATGCTGGAAACGGATCGGTCGATACAGTATTACATCCGTGATCTACAGTTTGATTCGAAGCAAAGTTCCTTAACTCGAGACGCTATAGACGCGAATGGAAACCCTAGAGCAAATACGCCATGCTTGCTCTATAAGCTGTTCCAGAAGGTGCATTTCTTGATTACGATTTTTTATTTACAAACTCGAATTAATCTTCTATTAATCAAAATTTTATTAATTTATTTATTATTCGCCATTGTTCCTTACAACTTTATAATTTTCAACATAAAATATTTTGATAAATAAGACACAAATTTGAAATTTATCAAAATAAAAATTGCAGCAAGGAATGAGTTTTTTCTACCTATTTCTTTGCCTAGATTCTGAGCTGTAATTCAGAAAAAATAATCTGCTTTAAAACGTATTACATAAACGAGTATCAATATTTATATTCACACTAAATTCACAAGTTATTTTGAATTAATTTAATTATATGTAACAATTTGTTTATAATTTAAAGTTTATTTAATTCCACTTAATTTATTCATAACTCATAAATTTAATGTCAATGAAGACCAAACCGCAGGAAAATGCTTTAAAAGATTGCGAGACATTTTCGCAAACAAATATAAGAAATTACTGTTACTTACCTCGTATTGAGATTGTTGTATCTCTGGTTGATCGTTTCCGTCATTTTCTTCACCCGTGTCGTATCGTCCTGCTGATAAACCGCTATCAGCTTCTGAGTGAGCTGATTAAAAAGTTCGATGTGATGTTTGTACTGGTGCAGCTCGGCATGAAACGACTGCGAGGAAAAGAAAGGGAACGAGATTGTGAAATCGAAGACGGTGGGCCAGCGGGCGAAAAAAGGAAACTTCTATCTAACTCCGACTTCGTATCGGGTTAGAAGAAGCCGTGCCTCTTTTGCACTCGAGCCTCGATAAGTCAGCGAAGTTAAACCTTCGAAGAGAGCTTCGAATAAAAGTTTTACGCCGATATACCGTACGATGCAACTTTCTTTGGATATCCGTCGGCACTGATTGGTCCCGATCAGACTTGCAAAGTGCACATTGAGATAAAACCTCCATATAAATAATGATTTTTTTTAGCAAATAAAAAACGTAAAACGTACACAATATCAGTTGAAAGAAATGCTCGTAAATATAAAATTATGTTATAAAAATTATAGAAATAAATAAGATATTAACCTCTCAAGTTACTCTCCTATCGACAACAACGAAATAATTATGTTGAACTATTTCATAAGCTTTTCTCAGAATCTATTCAGAAAATGAGACATGCGAGGTTCGGAAGAAACGCAGCAAATGCGTTTCAGTCAAAGGCAACGCGAAAGCACACTGTTGCGGAAATAAATTATTCTATGAATATCTCATTTGGCTCTTTTGAATCTAAACAGAGCTCCTCGCGCATAATGCGCTCCGCCGGCTGAGATCTCGTTGATTGAGACGTTGGAAGCTACATTCCTTATTCGCTACAACTTTTTTCAGACCGCGTTATACTGTCGTATGCAAAGTAGGAAAAGATTACTAGAAAGGACTTATTACTGGGCAGATGGATTCCAAAACGTTCGCTCTCTTTAATTCAGCTTACGAATGGGAAAAGTTTGTGGCTTCAGAAAACATTTGCACTCGCGAACTTTCGATATAGTGTTCAGTGCTTGCGTACTCATATTATATAATAATAAAAAGAATCTTACATTTTTGTAAGGCTGCTACATTGTTTGCGGTCAACAGTAATCACATCTAATAAATTTTCATGATGTAATAAACTTTAGCATAATAAAAAAATTTTTCATGATATTGAATGTTATGCCATCTGTATTCGAAAAAAACTGTAATTCACAAGCTTTACCTCGTACGAAATAATATCAGTCAGCAGATATTTCATTTAATATCAGTATATTCCTGATGCACACGATGAAAAATGCACTGTCGAAACATCTTGTAGTAAAAATAAGCCACATTGCAAAGATATAATATCTCCATAAAACTAAAATTGAAAACATTTGAACAATAACACGATCAAATACAAGAAAACGTTCACAACTGACACTTTTCAAAGCATAAATGTACTTAACTAAGATAGCTATCTTTACAATATCCCAACTGTGTTTCAACACAATTCAATCAAATCTATCGGCACTTTAATAGAGTTTCTGATTATATAAATTTATGAATCTCCATTAAATATATTTCGTGTTCAAAGATTACTAATAAAAAAACATTTTCGATATTGCAGACAAGCCAAATAGGCAGACACATTATCGCACAGCACTTTTTTCTGTCTTTTTATTCTCACCATTCACTAAAAGACACTTCTCTCGCGTGGCACTAAAAACTCGCCGACTCGAAGAGCTAACGCGGTTACTTGCGGAAAGACGGAAAGAGAGTTCGATGTACCTTTTGTTCCTTGAGCTGCGCCTCGAGTACGTCGGCGGTGTGCCCCACAGCTCGCATTCTCTCGAGTCTAGTTTCCATTCGTGCTAGCCAGACCTCCACCTCGTTTCTCTTCGCCTCATATCGTTGACTGTCGCCCAGCATCATGTCCAACTGCGTCTTCCTTTGCATGACTTTTGAATTCGTCTCATCCCAGTGCTCCCTCAGCTTGGTGACTGCAACATTAAGCAGGAAAACGACGTAGTGAGAATACGTTACTGCAACTAATATAACTATTAATTTCTTAAGTCCCATGAAAACAAATCATAGCGAGTATTTTTAACACTGAAATCGCTGGAGCAACTTTAATTCTTAGTTTGCAAACTAATCACACTGTGACAAAAATTTTTGAAAATTGTGTATATTAGAAACATGTATATTTGAAAGATTTCATAGCGCTGAATCCAATTTTGAAAAATAAATTCTTTCACGCGCGCAATCAAGATTTTCTACTTATATAAAAAATATACATAATCAATATCAGTGAATTATAATTAATATAATTACGAGCACACAATATGTTTAAGTTTCCTGAATTGCTCATGACGGACAGAAATAACATTGCAAATTGCTTTGATCCACAAAGACATTTTTACGCCTTAAAAGCGTCGAGTTATCAAAGTGCATCGAATGGCTAAAAGAGTGAAAGGCATTAACATCATAAAATATTAATGCTACTATTCGTATATGTGATACTTCTTCCTTAACATGTCATATATATGAACTAAGTCAACACCTCACTCAAAAAATGATATAAAATGTTAAGTGAGAAATATCACAAATGGTAACGCTTAAATCATTATTTTTTTCATGTCTCTTTAAACCTTGTCCCATTATACCTTTCCGTACGTCCCTTGAAACAAAAAGCCTACGTCGAAATTCACGCCGTACACGAGGTATCAGTTGGAAACAATCCAAACTGTAAATGGCAAGTTAGAGAGCACAGCTGGATGAAGCAGGCGCAAAACACTGGCAACGATTCAATATCCGCAACAACAAAATTCGCACGCGTGAACATCATGTCCGTATACCTTTAAGAATGCACCTTATATGCGCGATGTTTCGAGAACGCATGTCGCCAAACAGCACGGAAACTAAAATAACAACAGTTCTGATAAAAAAATATTCCTTTATAAAAGAAACCCATAACGATTCTGTCCATGTACATTTCGCAAAAGCACGCGATTAATATTATTTTAATAAAAACATATAAATAAGAACAAATAAATAAAGTCAAACAACATAACGGCTGAAATAAAAAAGAATTCTAATTTCGATGAAAGCATTGCATTTGCATAGTATATCTTTTCAATTAAAATATATCTCAAATATATTTCAAATATTCAAATATCAATGACGCGCTGCAGGGTATATTTCAAAAGATTTTAATAAAAGAAATTTTTTAATATAGCAAAAATATTTATCATCGCATAAACTTTTAACATGATAGATAAAAAATATCATGTTATATACAAACCTTGCAAAAGTTATAAATTTTAAGATAAAATATGGCTTATTTATATATAGATTCCTGAAATCCTAGATTTTGCTATTCATCTCTGATAAGGTTTTGCTTTTTCAAAAAACATAACAATAATCAATCCAATATAAAACAACAGAATTTATAATGTTTAATTATTGCATATTAATTGTTAATGTATTAATTATTAATTATTTATAATTATTTAATTATTATATGTATCATATTAAATAATTATATTAATATACATATTATATTAATATAATTATTTAATTATTATATATTATATTAATTGGTTGTTTAAGTACAAAATATAATTGCGTAATCAAACATAATATACTTGAAATTTGAATTACCTGAAAAGATAAGGAAAGAAGGTTTAAAAACTTATGTTAATATTTTATAAAGAATTTTATTTAGAACTATTTACTTCATATTCTACGCGCTATTATATTCTGAGCAAAGGTCAAAATAAAGATATTTTTATTTTTCTCGCCAGCGATAAATTGTAACAAATTACGGTGAATTCGCTCACGGCGAAACCGTCAGGACAATTTGCATCGTAAAGGATTCGCGGATCTTACATATTCATGTGTTTACTATATTAATAGTTTCCACTATTCCCAAAGTTCTAACTGTTCCGTTTAACACGCCGCGTTTCATCCATTATTCAAATATATTAAACGACACGCGACACACTTATATAAACCAAGCAAGACTGCTTTAATAATCCGGTCATGAATAAGTTTCACACGTAATTTGGCAAAGGTGCGACGAATAAGGGATTAAAAGACGGATCTTAAATGTGCACAACGTACGCCGACTTTTCAAAAAGCTCGGCTCTATCACCTCGTTCGCTAAAGAACGTCGTGCGAAAGACGGGGGGGTGTTACTTCAATGACTTTCAACGACTTATTATGAGAGCAATTCGCCCTCATCGACCCCTATGTACTTCGACCTGCACTTCAAAGCTGCCTTTATTATACGTCGCCGTATATTTTTCTGCCTGCATGCAAATTACAAGTACTGAGATCAGTTGAGAAAGATTTGGAAGCGACGCTTGCTCCGATAATCCTGTCTAATTCCATACTAACGACCGATAAATCCGATGAATATATGACGACATATAGTTTTAATTAGTTCTCAATCCCGATTACGTCAATCTCTCCCGACAGAAAAACTGAGAATATTAAAACTGACAGTAATAAGATATTAAAAATTGCCTTGAATAATAGATTATTAGTTTTATTTATTTCACGTTAATGTTCTAAATTATTTGAAAATGTGATTTTTAATATTCTAGTATTTACATTTTACATATTAATTTTGGCTAATAACTTATTCCAATAGCAGAAACCCTTTGGTATTATTAATCCATTTAATTATAAATTAATATCATTAATCCATAAATTTCTCCAACGGCTATATAATTAAGTTTGTTCAAATTATGTATGTATAAGAAATCATTATAAAAAGCTGTTCATAACGTATGAAATATTATACATTTAAGAAATACATTAAATAGATTTCTCACATATTGTATATAACTATAGAAAGAAAATAAAGAGGATACAACACGCATCTTTCTTCTGTTCCCTTCCATTATATTTGATTATATAAATCAGACATACAAGGGAGCAACTGACCGAACACTCGTTGTCACGTCCGCTAAAACCTGAAGAAGATTAATGCGTTCCCGGTTGAATGGACTTTCCAGATGTAAGGAAACTCACGTTAAGATAAAAAAATATTTACTTCGAAATTACATTAATTGAACATTATTTTCACCAATAAAAAATTTCGTCAAGTTTTAAATATAAATGCGTACACGCTTTCAATTTTTATCATCTTTAATATTTCATCTTTGTTTATTTACTGAAAGAATTAATAAAAAAAAAAGTGTGCAAGTAGAAACTTGCACATTGCTTCCTTATAATTTTTAAGTGTGCAAGTAGAAACTTGTGTGCACATTGCTTTCTTATAATTTTTAAGTGTATAAATTATAAATTTGAACATTACTTTCTCACAATTTTCAAGTACCTATGCAAATTATAAATTTACACGTTGCTTAATCAACATTTTATTTCGCTCATAAAGCTTCCTCTTATGTGAGGAAGCCTTTTTTTTATGTATAATTTATTAGTACATATTTATTAATTTGGCTTTCTCATAGAGGAAGCTTTATGAGCGAAATAAAATGTTGATTAAGCAACGTGTAAATTTATAATTTGCATACTTGAAAATTGTGAGAAAGTAATGTTCAAATTTATAATTTGTACATTTAAAAATTATAAGGAAGCAATGTGCAAGTTTCTACTTGCACACTTAAAAACTATGAGAAAGCAATGTGCAAGTTTCTACTTGCACACTTTTTTATTGTGATAATCTTTATTGCGATTAATATTTGTCATACTATTACAATAGTTTTTTATTTCTACTTTAAAATAACTTTTTAAATATATAAAAATTGCTTTTGAAAATTGAATGCGCGCGTTACGCGATAATAAACTATCACGATAAAATAACAAACAGTTTTTTTTTATTTTAAAATTCAAGTTTCAATAAATAGACTTGATTTTTTCGTAAATCGATAAATCTCTTAGAATAACCGCAACGCGAACGGCGACTTTCGCATAGATAAAACTGCGGGAGTTATTGAAAGAAAAATATATACAGTATCACGCAAGGCACACGTGGAATGAGTTATCGGCACACCTGAGTCTGCCAACGACCTCCGCCATAGCAAACATACACGTACGTGTTGCGCGAACTAGTATAGATTATGCAGATAGTCATATATACATGCAAAACTGACGAGCGTATTCACCGGGGAGTCACAAAGTTGCCAAGAACGCATTGTCTATGAGACTATCGAGATTCACGGTATCAATGGAAGTCTGCATCGCGAAATACTAACGACTCACAACGTTGCTTTCCTTTCTCTTTTCCTCTCGTTCAATTAATTCATTAATAAATAAAGTTCCATCTCAAATTCATAAATGAGACTCAAATACTTTGCATAGGTTAATTCTGGTGTAAAAATAAAAAAAAATCATTTTGTTCTTATTATTACCTAACAAAATGGTGTTATAATAGAAAATCCATATATTTTAATTTATTCATTCGTTACTTAGATCGACAAAAATGTATTTCGCTCGTTTGAGACTAATTAGGAATCAGATCGATATTCTCAGAACGTTTCTCGATAGAAGTAACAGAAACGAAAATCAGAAGATTTAAATAGATTCTTTTTCTCTCGTAATTCTCTCATTTCCATAATACCTAAAGTATTATGGAATATATATATATTATCACTATTATTTTCTAATAAATAGTTAAATCTATTTAAATAGTATTCTTATAATACACACACACAATAAAATATATAGCTAGAGATATAAATAAGCTATAAAAAAAGATAAAATAAGCTATAAAAAAATGCGGGATAATTATTTAAAAAATGCCAATTTATCTTTGCTAGAAAAAAATGTAAAAAATTAATAACAAATGGACAAAAATAAACATATTCATTTTGTACTTCTTAATTTGTATGCATCTATTATATTATGCTAATTTCCAGTGTATATCTATGTTATAGAATAAATGAACAAAGTATTTAAAATGTACTTTGTCAGATGTATTTTCTTAAGTATAAAGTAGCATAGATACTGTAAATAAGATTATTCAATAATAATT